CCTCTTAATCGGCGCGGAAGACCCCGAGAACTTCGCGAGTTGGGCCCCGCGCTGGACGCGCGACCAGGAGAACCCCCAGGCCCCTTGATCGGAGGAGGGCGACCGTGGCACCCAACGGCGCGTCACGCTCAGGATAGCGGACCGCGCAGCCTCACGCCAGATGGGCCGGGGCTTCCTGGCCAAGCCCACGTTCAGCAGCGTCGCGGCCGCCGCCGCAGCAGCCGGCGAGACCAACACCCCGGGCGCCGGAGGGGCGTCCAGCTCAGGCGACAGCGCCAAGCTCCACCAGATCCGAGCTGAGCTGGAGGCGGCGCGTGCCCGCGACGAGGGCGACCTGGAGCGCGAGGCCAGGGGCGCGCAGAGGCTGGAGATCAGGCTCAACGAGATGCGAGTACGACGAGCCGCTCGGCTCCGCAGGGAGAGGGAGACCGACCAGCACGAAGAGAGCGAAGCCAGCCAGGAGCGTGCTCCCTCGGAGGAGCCGCCGGCTGGGCAGGAGACGTGGCGCCGCCGCGCGCGGAGCGCACTACTGGCGCCGCTGCCACCCGGCTACCCAGTGCGCCCGCCGGGGATGCCGCCCATGATGCCGCCGCCGGGGATGCTCAACGCTGACTGGCACTCCGGAGGCTCCAGGAGGCCGCCGGCCCCTGCAGGGGCCAGGCGTGTCGCCTCGGCCGGATCGGCCCAACCGTCGCCGGCTGGAGCAGCCGAGCGAGCAGCAGGGCGAGCCAATTCAGAGCTGACGCCCTCATGGGAGACGAGCAAACCGATGGCTTCGCTCATCCTGGAGGGCGAGGACGACTGCCACGGGGCGGAGACCATGCTGAACGATTACGCGAGGGACATCTTGGCCGGACGCACGCCCCCCGCCGAGATGAGGACGTCAGCGCGCGAGCTGCTTGTGCTCGGAATCACGAAGATGGACGAGGGGCTCCCCCGAGGATCCAGCTGGACCCGCAACGAGCAGGTGCGGATCCGCAACGAGTTCGTGACGATGCTGATGAAGCTCGAGGCGTCCCTGGGCACCCCAGAAGGCGACCGCCTGGCGCCCCCCCTTCGAGAGGAGCCGCCGGCGCAGCCCAGCGCCTGCGACGAGTCCTACGACGAGGAGCCCAGTGATTGCGAGATGCTCGATCCGCCGCACACCAGCGGGGCCAGCACCGCAGCTCGACGGCTCGCCCCCCAGCCGAAGAAGCGCGGGCCCGCCACAGGCAGCGCGCCCAGCGGGAGCGCGCCGGCACGCCCCCAGCTGCAGGCGCAGGCGAAGAGCACGCGCAGCGTGCAGCTCAGCAGCCAGGAAGGAGCGATGCCCCAGGCCCCGCGCCCTGGCGCGACGCCGCCGCCACAGAGACCACCACCGGCGCAGAAGGCGAGACCCGCTGGCAGCCGGCTGGCCCCGCCGCTGCCAGACACAGACGGCCGCTGCGGGGGGCCACCGCTGGACGAGACGCCGGCCGCCGCCCCGACGCGCGGCCCGACGGAGGCGGCCCAGTATGTCGCCCGGTGCGCCTCGCACCCCGAGTACCGGCCCGAGCTCGTGAAGGAGGTCGTGGAGCGGGGGAACAGGCTGCTGCGCACGACGGGCTCTGTGGAGGAGGCCGCCAGGCTCCTGAAGGCAGCCCGTGAGAAGCTACACGGGAACCCCTTGGAGGGTGCCTTGAGCGCCGACCTCCTCCAGGCTGCGCTGAACCCCGAACACGGGCGCAACCTGCGCGTCATGGCAGAGGGCGGCGTGCCCTCTCGGAAGGGTTGCCCCGAGGACACGCGAGGTTCATAAGTCACACTCCTCGGCCGTGGATCACGCGGGGGAGATGTTTGAGAAGTGCTGGAAGGACTCTCGATTCGGCGTCGTGATCTGGGCCTCCGACGACGTCAACGACATGCTCGAGACGTCCGCCGCCATCGAGTTGCCCTCCGGACGCGCCCCCAAGCATAACCCCGACAGGACGATCTCCTCGGAGGGCCGGCCGATCCACGACGTGAGGTGCGCCAACGTGGACAGTCCTAAGGGGCAGCACCCGCCGGCGAAGCAGCCACTCCACCGTGGGCTCTCCAGGCTGTCGCTGTGGTGGGAAGCCCGCCATCCCAGAGTGCCACAGCTGTGTGCGAAGCGGGATGTCGCACGGGCCTTCAAGTGGCACCACCTCGAGCCGGCCGCCGCCCCGGAGTTCGGGGCATCTCTGCCAGGAGACGCCGTCGGCATTGGAGGGAAGGTCGTGGTGATCCACTCCGTGCTGGTGTTTGGCTGGTCGGGCTGCCCGGGAGAGTGCATGGCGTTCGCCTGGGCCGCGTGGAAGGAGCACGAGCGCCATCGGCCCCCCACGCCCTCAGTCAACGACGAGATCAGCTTCGCGAGCAAGTGGCTCATGGACGACGGGGTGGTGCTCGAGCCCCTAGTGGGCCTCCGCCCCTGGCTCTCGGGGGACGAGCTCGACCGGGCCATGCGGCGCGTCTGGGGACCCCAGGCGGTCAACGCCGACAAGCTCGCTGAGGAGGGTGAGTTCGCACCCGAGCAGCTGGCGCGGGGGCTGCACATGAACTTCAGCAAGAAGACGACACGCCTCCCCGAGCAGAAGTGCATCAAGGCGCAGTACCGCTTGCACTGCCGGAGCTGGCCCACGGGTCACGGCGCGCCCCCGCGAAGCTCGTGGAGGAGCTGAGGGGGCGCGCGCAGCACTGGAGTTCCGCGCAGCCTGCGATCCGCCCTGAGCTCCCAGTCCTCGACAAGCTCTTGGGGCATGTAGCCGAGGGCTCCGCCTGGGCGAGTCCTAAGGGCGACCCAGACACCGTGGCGGCCGCGTGGGAGGAGTGGGACCGCACTCTGGAGCTTCTCCGGGTGATGTTCGACGCGCCGGAGGCTTGGAGCACGTCCTTCCAGGCAGGCTTCAGCCAAGCGCTGACCCCCCGCGAGCTGATGGCGTTGCCGGGGATGGCGCGCCAGACCCGCTGGACCAGAGGCGACGCAATTCTGGATGCGATCGGAGCCGTCAACTGGGGCCGTGCGAGCGAGAGTCTCGCCGCCGGCCCACCTTCGCACTTGGCCACAGAGGCGAGGCCGCTGCTGGAGCAGCTCAGCAACGCAGTGACCGGACCGAGTTCAGAGGACGACTGGATCATCTCGGTTGTGGAGCTGCTGGCGCTGGTGGCGCTGGCCGCATGCCGGGGGCATCTGTGGAAAGACGAACTCGTGTTCTACGTGACGGAAAGCGCGAACGTCAAGTCGTGGCTGACGAAACGTCGGCCCAAGAACGCACTGGGCCGCTATCTGCTGCGCGTGGTCGAGAGGCTAGAGGCCGAGCACGGCTTCATGCTCACCTCCTTCTACGTGCGCACGTACCACAACGAGGTGGCGGACTGGCTGACGAGAGAGGAGGTGAAGCTCGCGAGCTCGCGAGGTCGCGAGGGCCAGCTGGCACCGGTTGGAGCCCCCCGCCGCCTGGGGCGCCATCTCTAAGGACGCCCAGGACAAGCTCCTGCGGATCCCCGGCGAGACGGGGCCGCTGGCCGAGGCGGCCTTGCGGCACTAGGCCTTGCGCACGCCAGCCGCGCCGAAGGCGTGCCCTCCCCTGACCGGCCAGACCGGCGTCGAGCTGGGCGGGCTACTCCAAGGATATCGAGACGCTTTCGTGAAGCTCGGAGGGCGCGAGGCGGGCCACGGGCAGGCGGCCGCCTGGGTGCTCACGTCACTGACCCTGGACCCGCGGGGCTTCGAGACCGAGGCCCTCCTCGTCCGCGTGGGACAGGACCGCCCCAGCGTGGTCATCGCCGACACGCCGATTGGGCTCGCCGTTCAGAAGCTCGAACGATCTCTCAAGCAGCTGGGCTACACGCTGACCTCGCTCGACCTCCTGTGCACAGAGCATGGGGGCGCCACCTCGAGGACCAGGAAGGTGCTGGTCGCCTGCCGTGGCCCTCTCGCGCGCTGCCTGGCGAGCATTCAGTTGCCGCCGGCAGGCCGCGTGGCCCACGGAGTCAAGCACTTCTTGGAGCTGAACCCGGACGGGGACTGGCTGGACGGCCAGGGGGAGACCCTCCTGAACCCCAAGATCCGCACCACCGGCAACCCGCTGCTGCCAAAGCCCGCTGGGCACATCACCATCAAGGGGGTCAAGCACCTGCTGCACAGCCCAGACGGCCCTGCCGGCGCCCCACGGTGGCCAGGCAAGGAGCCCGCGGGGCCAGGCGCCACGCTGCTGTACATCCCTGGCAGCGCGCAGGGGGGGGTGAGAGCGCTCACACCACGAGAGATCTGGCGCCTCCAGGGCGGCAGCGACACCGCCTGGGACAAGTACTTGGCCGAGGGGACCACCAGCGAGGAGCTGCTCCGTGCGGCGGTGCGGGCGCTGCCGCCGGAGTCGGCTCAGATGGTGCTCAGGGCGGTCGCGCTGGCCATGGACGCGGACACCGAGAAGGTCGGGGTCTGCCATGGCCCAGAGGAGCAGACGGCGTGGGAGGCCACGCAGCGCTGGTTCCGGGCCTGGGCCATCGCCCCGGACACCCCAGCAGCCGAGGTCCTGCGCCAGGACAGAGAGGCAGCCGGAGGCGCCCTCTCCACCGAGATCCACAAGAAGCGCCACAGGAGCCAGAGGATCAGGTTCAAGCAGATCGACGACGACACGACCCTCGGCCCAACCACCCCGCTGTCCGCCGACGAGGTCCGCCTGGACGCGGGCCCGGCCTGCCGGCGTGCGCCGCGTGGCGCCCGCTCGCGGCCAGCCCGCAAGGGGCGGGCCGTGGCGACGCCGGAGCTGGTCCAGCCGCTCGCCCTGGGGCGGGCGCGCGAGAGCCTGCCAGTGCCACCCGCCCACCACATGGTGGGCGGGGAGCACTATGGCGAGTGGCTCCGCGACCTGCGCACGGAGGTAATGCTGCAGAAGCTGAGCGAGGGCACCCGCAGCGGGTGCGATGGCGGCTGGCGGCAGTGGACCGCGCACCGCGCTGCCCAAGGGCTGGGCCCGCGGCTCCAGGGCCGGGGCCGCGGCGAGCGGACCAGCGACGAGGACGCCTTGATCGACTTCGCGGTCATCATGGCGGTGGCCTTGTCGCGGACGGAAGGGACGGAGAAGCAGAAGCTGTTCGCCATCAGGCACGCCCACTTGATGGTCGGGCACGGCGACCCGCTGCATCACCGGGGGCGGCTCTGGACGACCCTTGCAGGCCTGAAAAGGCTGCAAGGGCCCAGCAGCAGGCGGAAGAGGCCGGTCACCCCGCGGATGCTGCTGTGGCTCAAGCAGCACATCCACGCAGATGCGGGGTTGTCCCAGGCCGACGCCGCCACGCTGTTTGCCGCGGTGCTCCTCGCCTTCCTCTTCCTGTTGAGGGCGTCGGAGGACCTGGTGGTGGCAGGGAGATCGCGGTCGGTCGACAGGGTGGTCCACGGAGAGGACCTCGAGGCGAGGCGCGAGGGGGGGCGCGTCGGCCAGTTCGCCCAGGCTGACGAGTGTGTGCTGCACATCAAGGGCTCGAAAACGGACCAGTACAATGTGGGGACGGTGCGCAACCAGTACTCCGCCCACTCAGCGCTGTGCCCCGTCGAGGCCCTGGCGGCGATGCACGCCCAGCACCCGCAGCGTTTCGACCACGGCGCGGAGGCGCGGCTGCCCCTGTTCCGGTGGGCCTCAGGCGCGCTTGCGAAGCGCGAGGAGGTGCAGCACTTCCTCGCGCTGGCGGGCCTGGCGGCAGGCCTCAAGCGGGAGGAGATTGGCTCCCGCTCCCTGAGGATCGGCGGGGCCACGGCGATGTACCACGTCACGGACGACCTCGCCAAGGTCCAGAGGTGCGGGAGGTGGGCGTCGGACCCCTTCCACGCCTACCTCTGGGAGTCGCGCGAGCCGCAGCGCGACGTAGCCCGGCGCATGGCCAACGACCACTCGGAGCTGACGACGCCAGCAGCGAAGCCCCAGGAGGGAGCCGCCGGCGCTGGCGCCAGGCGTGCTCCCCCCAGGGGCTTGTCGGCCCTCGGGGCCGCAGCGGCGGCCGCGGCCACACTGGGCCAGGCCACAGCGGCCAGCCAGGAGCTTGCGGTGGTGGGGGAGGACAAGAAGCATGTCAGCGTGCGTCTGGCAGCGGGCGGGGAGGACATCACCATCGCGATCCCCCTGGAGATCATGGTGGAGGTCGTCATCTCACTGGTGGTGGTGCTGGCTACGACGTTGGCGATGGCCTGGCACTGCTGATGCAGCCCGAGGCGGGGCAGCCGGCCCCAGGGCTCGAGCGGGGCGCCGACGGAGGCGACGGAGGACGACAAGAGGACGGCCAAGAAGCCCAATAATATTTACTGCGACGCGGGGATCCAGGGGCCGGTGCGCTACAGCGGCACCCGCTACGTCCACAAGACACAGGGCTTCCAGCGCGGGGGCGAGGTCGCGCGCGAGGTGGCCGCTAAGCCGCACCGCGGCTGAGCAGTGGCGCCGCCGGCCAAAGGCCTGGCGAGCGAGTGAGATGGGGAGGCGCCGCGAGACGGCTGAGTGCGGCGCCGCCGGCCAACGGCCCGGCGAGCGATGAAGGGATAGAGTGCTCCGCCGCCGGCCGCGGCCTGGCGCGCGGAGCCACGCCGGCGCATGGCGCCAGGCGTAGCGTTCGAGCGCCCGCGGGCAGCTGGGCGCCTGCGGGCTGCGGAGCGATGGCGGCGGCAGCGGGGCGCCCGCGGGGCAGCCGGGCCGCCTGGGCCCACTGGGCAGCCGAGCGCCCGCCGGCAGCGGCGCGCGCGCGGCCCGCGGCGCCAGGGGGCGACGGCGGCCGGGCGCCCGGGCGGCTGGAACCACGCTGGCGCTCCCCCCGCGCGGCCAGGCCCGTGGGTTCCCCCGCGGCAAGCCGCGCTGAATTCGCAACCGCAGCGCCGTCATGAGGGGGCGGCGGCGCGGGCTTGGGCGCAGCCGGCGGCAGGCACTGCCGCGCCGCCTGGCCGCGCCCCGCGCCGGCGCTGCGTAGGCACCAGCGCGCGAAGACACCGGGTGCGCCGGCGGCCGCAGGCCGCCCGCGCCCCGGACCACAGTGGAGGGTGCGCCGGCAGCGACCGCTGCCAGGCGCGCCCGAGAGAGGGCGGCAGAGCCCGCCCCTGTCATCCCAGCGCCTTAATTTAATTGAGACGTGCGCCATGTACCAGTTTTTGAATTTTGCTTCAATTCTTGATTTCGAATTCATTGTGTTTCAATTTTTGATGATGAACTCGTTATTACTGCATATCCAACTGTGCCAATGTGCCAGTTGTGCATGTGTTGTCATATATGTATGTATTTATGTGTATATATATATATATATATATGTAGTTGTGCCAATGTACATATATGTAGATATGTATATATACATATATCAAGTGTGCCAATGTGCCAATGGTGCACAATGTGCCACGGTGCCCGTGCGCCATGCATCATACGATGTGTATATATATATATATATGTATACATAGAGAGAGAGAGAGAGAGAAGATAGATAGATAGAGAGAGAGAGAGAGAGAGAGAGAGAGAGAGAGAGAGACAGAGCGCTGAGAACATAACAAACTCCTCGTCCCCCTCTTCCTCCTCCTCGAGACTCCGTCTCTCCACTTCCTCCTGCTCGAGCTCCCGCCAGGCCTCTTCCTCCCTCCTCCTCCTCATCTCCCTCCTCCTCCTCCTCCTCCTCCTCCTCCTCGAGCCTCCTCCTCTCCCTCCTCCTTGCCGCGCCGCGCGCGCGCGCGACGGCGCGGCAGGCTCGAGCGCGCTCGCGCGCGCGCTGCAGGCCCTGCCTGCGCGGGGTGCGCGGCCCTGCCGAGGCGCGCGGGGGGGTGGGGGAGCTATCGTGCCAGATCTGGCACGGTCGATCTCGCCCGAGGGTTGGGGCGCCCCAACCCTCGGGCGAGATCGATCTCGCCCGACTCGCGCCTCGAGGGCGGTGCCGTGTGCCAGAACTCGCGGATAGTATGGGGGGCACTGGCACGCCCGCCCACGAGGCGCGATGTCGGGCGAGATCGTCGCAGAGAGGCTGGACGAGGCGTTCGAAAAGGCAGGGATCCCTTCCTGGTGCCCAGAGGACCTCCCTCCCTCTCCCCCATTCTCCTCCTCTCCTCCTCCTCCTCCACGCCCAGCACTTGACCCTCCTCCTCCTTCTCCTCCTCCTCCTCCTCATCCACGTCCTCATCCTTCCCCTCCTCGAGGAGCTCCTCTCCCTCCTCCTCCTCCTCCTCCTCCTCCTCCTCCTCCTCGTCGCCGTCGCCCAGCTAGGACATCCCGACGCCGCGATTGTTGAGAGAATTCCCTGGGCGAGAATGTGAGCGGCTCCGTCGGCACCTGAAGAAGGATTTCATAAAGCGGTACCGTTCGCACATGCAGTTGGTTAAGGCTTCCTCCTCCTGCTCCTGGTCATCCTCACTCCTGCTTCTCTTATCTTCTCTTGTCATGTCCTCTCCTCTCCTCTTCCTCCTCCTCCTCCTCCTCCTCCTCCTCCTCCCTTCTCCCACGCGCGCATGGCCCCCGCCCCCGTCCGCGAGGCGATGGCGCCCAAGCCTCCGCGGCATGCAAAGACAGCGACTGTGCCGGCACAGGCGCTGGCACAGGCGCGGGCGTCACGGGCGAGATGCGGATAGAATTGGTAGGGATATGAGTAGGAGGATAATGAGGAAGAGGAGGAAGAGGAGGAATAAGAGTCGGAATATGAGGATGGGATGATGGGAGGGTCCTCGAGGGCGAGGCGGAGGAGAAGGAGGAGCAGGAGGAGGAGGAGGGGGAGGAGGAGGAGGAGGAGGAGGAGGAGGAGGAGGAGGGGGAGGATGAAGGGGAGGAGGAGGAGGATCGAGGGAGGACCGCTCCGTTCGAAAGGATGGGGGAGGAAGGTGGTGCGGGGAGGAAGGTGAGAGACGATCCGCGCGAGGCCCTCACGACAGACGCCCTGGTCGAGGGCATCCCGAACATCGCGGGCCCGCAGCCGCCACTTGGGGGTCGAGGAGGAGTGAGGAAAGGAACGGAGAAGCAGATGGGGGATGAGAATGAGGCGATGAGTCAGATCCAGAAGGGAGGAAGGGCGAGGGAGGAAGGGCATGCAAGTAATACTGAAACGAAAGAAAGAGAGAGAGAAAGAGAGAGAGAGAGAGAGAGAGAGAGAGAGAGAGAGAGAGAGAGAGAGAGCGAGAAACCAAACAAACAGAAACGACAGAGAGGGAGAGCGACAGAGAGAGAGAGAGGGCGAGAGTGACTGACGGGGAGAGATCACGGAGGTACTCGAGTGGGAAGGTTAGTGGAGGAGCGAAGTGGGCAGGGAGGGAGGAGTGGGATCGATTCAGGAGAAGTGGGGTTCGAAGAGCGGGGATGCAACGATGATTGAAAAGGAGGGGTGATCGATACACCGTCATCAGCGTCATGGCAGTCAATACGTTTGTCATCATCGTCACGGTCGTCATCGTCGCAAGTTGTGTTGCCAATCGTCTCAGCCTCATCGTCGCCACGATGTGATCGTAATCTTCGTCACGATGCCATCGTGACGAAGATCGTCGCGATGACATCGTCTCACCCGCATCGTCAATCGTCATCATCGTCACGATGAATCGTCGTCCCTCCTGCCTCCCTGCCTCCCACCCCCTCGCCCTCGACTGCTGCTAGGCTTTGACGGCATCCCGCACTATGGCTCCTACCCGTGCACGTCGACCAGCCAGCGCCCACAGCTCGCAAGCATGACGGATATCGGGCGGGGTTGCGTGAGGAATGACGGTTGATGTTGGAGCGGAAGAGGGTAGTAGTAGGCAGAGTCGTGTAGATCGGTGGAAATCGACGGATCCGACGCGAAGGGATGGCGACGCCGACGCGACGGGAACGTGAGAATGACGACGATCACGATGAAAAAAGGAGCGCATGATGAGGATCAGGAGCATGAGGATGCGGAGGAGGAGCATCCAAGAGTATGAGGCTGAAGAGGATGAGGCCTGAGGGGTGGGTGGGCATGGGGCTGAAAGGGGACGAGGGGAAAGATGGGCAAAAGGGGGTGAAGTCATGGTCTATCGTCACTCACTCTGAGCGTTACTTGCGAACCGTCATGCTGGATCTCGATCCCTGCATCCCTCGCGCACGTGCTCAGTATCGCCTTCCTAGTGCCTTCCCTCACGCATCCATCCACCCTCCTCTGGGAGGACTTCATCCCGACGATTACCAACGTGGACCGCGTTAGCAACGGCTTGCGCGTGTCGCAGAAGACGATGGAGGCGCGAATGCGGCTTTCGTCACCACTCGCCCTCTGTCCCTCCCTCCGTCGGATAGGAAGAAGATGAGGAGACGGAGGAGGTGGAGGAGGAAGCTGAGGAGAAGAAACAGGAGGATGAGGCGGAGGAGGAGGAGGAGGAGGAGGCGCAGAAGGGGGAAGCGAAGGATGAAGTGGGGGAGGCGGAGGCGGAGGAGGATAAAGGGTCAGAGACGATGGTGGAGTAGGACATTCGAATAAAGAAGCACACTAGCATCGCAAACTAGTAGAAGGAAAGGTAGAGGGCAAGATAGAACACGGCGTGACACGTAATGAAGTGGGGTTTACCTAGATGGTCGGGTAGTAGGAGTCGGGCAGGATCACATAGTGTGAGCCCGCCCCAATTCAGTTGTTCCAGCTTCAATCGAGATTCGATCGACAGATCTGGGGGAGAGGAGGGAGCAGTCGTCAGCCCAACGTTCCCCTAGAGGCTGGCTGGGACAAAGCATGGGCGCACATATTCACTGAGCAGTACATCAAGTCGAAGGGCCGCAAGCCAAGCAAGATGATCATGCAGGGCTACAGGCGCCCTTCTTTTGATTGCACGCGAAGAGTGGATGGGGAGAGCGAGGAGGGAAGTACCATATTGGCGCGCTCGCTCAATGTCCCCCCCCCCATCCCCCCCTCTCCCCCTCCCCCCCATTCCCATCCACCTCATCCTCCTCCTACTCCTCCTCCTCATCCCACTCCTGCTCCATCTCCCCTTCCAAATACAACCCTTCACCCTCAGTCTCATCCTGCCTCTCCACCCTAACATCCTCGTCCTCCGCCTCCCCTTTCTGCTGCTGCTGCTCCTCCTGCTGCTCGCCGTCGTCTGCGTTATCGTCCTCCTCCCCGCCCAGACGTCGGGGCCCGCTTTGCTTTCTTGTGGCGACTTCGTGTAGCGATAATGTGTGGAGTATTGGGCTGGTCGCGGTCCGTCGTTCTTCTCAGCGGTGATATCGGACATGATGGCACCACCATCCCACATAATCACCCGTCCCGCGATTGCAGGTTCGTGGAGTGCAGGTCCCTTCGCATCATGTTAGCCCACTTCCAGCGGGACAAGAATGCGCCAGATTCAACGTCGCGCCTCGCAGCGTATGAAGAGGACTGCGACGGAGTGAGGTCGGGCAGGACGAGCTTGTTGAGCAGGAGGGGGATGAGCGAGAGCAGGAGGAGCAGGAGGAGCAGGAGTAGGATGAGAAATATGAGGAAGAGT